AGTTGGAGGATGCAGATCCTTTTAGGGAAAACCTGGTGATTTGATTTATTTTGGAAGCTGGAAAGAACTGCAGCATCCAGTTTCAGTTTTGAGGAGGATCTTAGGGTATTTCTCAGCTCCTGCTGAGTTAAGGGTCAATAAAAATGAATTAGTCTGGGATAAGAGTATCGTGCCTCAGACTACTGCACGATAAGGGACGTTCCCAGCTGTTTAAATTTCAGATAGCGTTAATTAACCACTGTGTAAGCTTACTATTTTACATAAAATGTTCAAACCCAGCATTCCTCTACTGCTCGTGTTGCATTCAAGACGTGTAGGACCCAGCCACTGGAAACAACTCGCTATACTGATTTAGAGGACGGCCGAGCGCCGCACCGCTGCTCTCTGGAGCCTGGCTCTGCCCTTCCCGGCGCTCAGGACGGGTGACAGGGGACACGAGCTGGTGCTGATTTTTGGCAGACAGGTGAATATCACTGCTATCCTGTTACAGGGAACAAAAACCCATTTGATGCCATCCCATCAGCTGGAAAAAAAAAAGACATTTTAAGCCAAAGCGTGGCATTTACTGGGTGCTTTCAACTATTTTGTGTTTCGTGGCTCCAGTAAAACAGTAAATTGGGTTTTTCTGGGAGGGGGTGAAGGAGGAAGGAGTGGAAATAAAAGAGCAGTGTGCATTTATTTATTTTTTTCCTCCCTGGGACCGATGCTTTCAATTTATGAAGGAGCAGTGGAAAGGATGCATTGATTTATAGACTGCGGCATCCCCTGGCAAACCTGAAACACGTCTGCTGTTTGTACATTTTACCAGGCAGGAATGAGAACGCCGCTGCTTCCTTTATGGCTCCAGAGAGCACACAAATCTGTCTACAAACGCTATCTTTATCAGGGAATATTTAAGTATTTCTTGGCTTTGGTCGCTCATTAGCATTGACCAACATCAACTGCTCCACACAGGCAAAATTTCACCCCCTTGAAAAGTATTGCTAATACAGAATTAAACCCATGAAGTAGGAGAGCAGCAAAACGTAGAATTAGCATCTGAAAATGCTAATTTACTACAGGTGAAGAGTGTGCTTCAGCTCTCCAGAAGATTGGTTTAAGGACCAAAAAGTTAAGTAAAAAAGCAAGCTTCCTCAGAATAATACAGTAAAAAACAGAAATCAAAATGAGGAATATTAACTGGATCTCAAATGACAAATAACAGGGATATTCATGGTGAAGGTATTTTGTTCTCAGCCAAAATGAGATGCCCACACTCCTGCTTTCAGTGCAACCCCACAGTTCGTATTATTAAGTTACAAATTTCTCAGGCACTTCTGGTCCAGAAGTGAGAGGTCCAATCTGTGCATGCAGACTAAACCCTCCTCTGAATTCATCTCACCACGAACGCCAGTATTTGGGGAACAAGCCTCACAGTTGGTCTTTCCTGCATTCGCTTTGGGAAATTAATTTACTAAGAGAATTATTTCTGAGAGGCTGAACTATGCTATCCTTTAAAAAACAAGCCAGTGTTTTAAAACCAGGTGTAACCTGCTAGGAAATCCCTCTCCTCCATCTCTTCTACACGTTTGCAACACGTCTATGACCCTCCTCATGTCCACTGCTTCCCATCGGGAGGGTTGGAGTAGGAGAGGTGTGGACTCACAACTTTAAAACAAAATTCCTGAGCTTTTGTAAAAGCCTCGGAGGTAGCAAATCCAAATTTCAGATGTTACTGACCACGGAATGGCACAGTTAAATGGACTGTGTTTGCAGACTGCATAGGTAAAGGTAAGAAGTTGATTTAACCTAATGGCAGAACATCCCAAATGAGAGGATTACCTTAAACCTACCGTGCAAACCTCAACTTGGAGCTCCCTGCCATTTAAAAATTCACATGAGATGCTCAAATTCTCAGTGGGTATTGATTTTTCCTTTTCTTTTAAGGAAAATTTATCACCAACCTGAGCGACCAGAAAATGAGAGAAGAAATATCTGTAACTAGGAAAGAGTGCTTGGAAAATGCATCATCTCCTCACACGCACACATAGAAATCACACAGGAGTCCCAGGACTTGAGTTACGCAAAGGAGTAAGTCATCACGGTGGACCCTTTGATATCACTGCTCATCAATAATTTTTAGATTAATAAAGACTGAGTTGTTTAACTATGTGGGAAAGGGAAAACACAGCATTTTCAGTGCTGTTTCTTTGGAAAGCAGGCACAGCCTTCCCTCATTTGGAGTTATAAGCCCTGCAAAGATGAGGACTGGTCCTTCAGTCCAACGGCGGTCTCTGGAGCGCGGATGCCGTGCTGTGCGCCGCGGCGCGGGCTGAAAAGCGAGCAGCGGGTGTTCTGCCCGTGTTTGTGTAAACAGCTCATTAGCGCTACAGCAGAAATGATGGGGGACAACTTAAAGACAGCCTGCATTCAGTACAGACGTAAAGGACGCCGCAGCTTTTAATTTACAGCTAAAACGCGCTGGCCTGGCGCTCAGGATAATTCCCACCGCCTGCGTGCTGGCACCGTAAAAGATGAACCGCGAGGCCATAAAGTCAGAAAACAACAAAATAAACACATGTGACTTCTGGTTTTTCCTTTCCAGAGATGTATGTATATTAAAATATACTTTTAAAACAGCTATGACTCTAATTTGAACGAGGTTCTCACTGTTAAAGGGCGAGAAGGAGCTTTTTGGGCAGCAGAAGCGCACTCTGGACACCAATGCTCTCCTGTTTGCGCAGCCCCGCTCCATCGCCCTCATTTATTAACAACGTCTAAATTTTGCATTAAGATAAGGTATAAAGATTGACCTTTGATGAAAAGTTTCTATCAAAATACTCATCTGAATCTGCTAAAAACTTACTTGGAAAACATGAGCTGGTTGGATGATATTCCAGTCCTACCAGAACATGATGGTTTTGTTTGCATTACTTGATGCAGCAAAGATTGCTTTTAAAACCCCAGGTTTTATGTTTCTGAAATATTCTGACAAAGAGATTTCTACTTCTAGATTTCAACATCTTTGTGCACGAAATACCCAAAGACTGAAACTCCCTGCACCTCCCTAACACATGAAACCCCTCCATCTCCACGCACAGGATACACCAACGCTCCCCCCTTCCCATCACGCAACACCGAGCGCAAATTCATCTTGCAATGAAAGATGCAATTGCAATGCAAGGTTCTCATCTGAGCATATTTCTGCCTCCTTACGATGTGAACCACGGACATCCATTCCCCCAGGGTGTTATTTTGTGTACACGAGAAAAAACAAGGGCAGCCGGAGCTGCATCAGCTCTTGCAACTGCCGGAAAAAGTAAATCCCCAAATTACATGCACTGCTGTTTTATTTTCTCCGTGGCACGATATGTACATATATTTACCTTTAACACAGCAGTTATAAATGTACCATTGATTTCTTTCTACTTTCTCTTTTTAGTGTTATCATTATTATTTAAGTGTTAGCTGGTGTAACGTTTACACTCCACATAACTTATCGCAAGCTTAAAGCTCCCTGAAGGTCACTGGATGCAAACCATGTTTACTCTTCACCTTGTAAGTTAGGGAGAAAAGCAATGAAACGCATTTGGGTCTTCTTCTTCCCTTTTTACCTTGCCCTTGTCAAAGTAATGGATAATTTCTTGATAGAGTTGATCTTTCAGCTGTCCTTGAGTAGCAGCCTGGTATCCATCCCGCTGGGTCAGATGTGCGGCACAGGCTTCTTCCGACCACTAAATCAAACAGAAAGCAAGGGGAAAAGCAAGAGCAAATTAAAAGTGATGCGATAAGTCAGTAAAATTAGGCTAAACACACATTTTTTTTGCTTTAACGAAGTGGAGAATGCACCACCACCAACTTTATCATCGCTGTGTACTTTGATTCCTTGGGAACGAGGACCATTTGTTTGAATGCTGTAATTAGAGCTAATTACAATTATCAGCTGGAGGGAAGCTTCTGGAGGTGGCTTCCTCTCCTCAGAGCATTTGATGAGCCTGACCTTGGCCTGTTGATGGGTCCAACCTCCTGGGTGCACAAAGAACCCTTTGGGTTTATCCTGAGAAAAGCCCTGAAGCCAAAAATACATCAGTGCAAACAGAAAGGACGGCAGGCACGGAAATTAAAGAGCCAAAATTCATACAGACCATTTGGAGGAATGGAAAAGCACCACTAAGTTTACAAAGGCTGAAATTAATACCTTAAGAGACTCACAAACCTCTGGCAAATCAAATCAAATCACAAACCCCCATCGCATCAAATGAAACTTCTCACGGATTGAAAAAGACACAGGGACGGGTGCCCCAATAGGACTTCTTGCCTTAAGAAACCAAGCTCAGGTATTAAATTAATTAAAGAGCTGTTCACTTTCTTCTCTAAAAATCCAAGTTACCATAGAAGGCAAATTGCCCACAGAAATAAAGCGGTATAACTTTCAGAAAAGAAGGAATTCAACTGAAAATCAGCAACTCGCAGATTCACTCACAGAATTGCAGTTACATCATCTGCTTGTACCTTCTACACCTTACTAGATTTCACTCCTTAATTTGGCCAGAACGTTTGTGTTTGGCTAAAGCAAGACAATGTTGAGAGCTTAGTGCCGCAAAACTGCGCTCCTGAGCATCACAAACTTCACGGAGGCTGCAATGCAATCGCATTTTTTTCATCAGCATCTTCTGTTATTTTTGAACAACTTCATTTTGGCTAAATGGGTTACAAATACACCTAAAATCTCTTTTCTCAAGTGTGCTTCATCAGCTTGCAGTGATCTCAGACAAGAGAAATTCTAGAAAGCTCTCCATTTTGACCTAAATGTGATCCCATTTAAAATCAATGGGATGAAATATGTGCCCATGATGAGCGTCATTGAAAAGCCCGTCCTCAAGGTTTGAAAGAAAAGCTCAATTGCTTAAAGTTACACACTTCAGTACTGTTGCTTCTCAGGTACGGAACTCCTCCAGCCACTGCTAACTACTGGTATTAACAGGTTATTGTATTAGAGAAACCAATACCCTTTTATAAAAAGTATTTCCAAACTATAATGTAATTATATTTATAAACAAACATGTGCTTAGGGATGAAAATCTGTGATAAAAACTACCCTTACATTTGCCACCTTGCATCAATTTGTGCTATAAGAAAAACTGGGTATTTCTTCCCCGTAAATCAAAGGCTGATATTAAATAACCCATCTCTGAAGACATTTCGTAAGAAAAACCAGAACTTGGCTAAGCTCTAATTTAAGGCCACATAAACCAGACTGACTGGTTTATGAGGGTGTCACAGCTCCTCACAGCCTCACTCCTCTGACACTTGGCTCCACATGGAAAATGTCATTACCCAAGCAGGGGCTGCATCACATTTAGTCTTCTTATAGCCAGGAAGCAACTTACGCAGTTCTGAGGTACAAATAATTCTCAGTGCATCCTTTACAGAATCACAGAGTCACTGAGGTTGGAAGAGACCTCCAAGATCATCCAGTCCAACATCAATCCAACCCCACCATGGCCACTAAACCACATCCCCAAGTGCCACATCCAGGCGCTTCTTGAACCCCTCCAGGGATGGGGACTCCACCACTGCCCTGGGCAGCCCCTGCCACTGCTTGACCACTCTTGCGGTACCGAAATTTTTCCTCGTATGCCAGGAGCAGTTTAGGAGCAGTTCATTTAACACCTTCCACTTTCCAACTTTCCAAAACAGGTATTTTATACCAGTACTTCTCTTGGGATTGCTTAAGATTAATCAAAGATTGCTCAGAAGAAATCCTTGCATAGAATGAGATACATTTCCTTTACGAAAGGGGGGACCATTTGCAGATTCTGTAATAATACAGCAAGTTGCAATGATACAACAGGTTGTGATAATACAGCACGTTATAATAATACACCTGCCATTGGTTTAAGAAACAGATCAAGGGGAAAATGCAATGATTATTCTGTCCCTGACTCCCTGCCCTCTATGACCACGGGTGCTACCACCCTCGAGCGGAGCAGAAATTGCTCCAGGTATCCTTGGAGAGAAAGATTTCACCCACTCAGTGGGTGGTGAGATGGGGAGAGGAGGATGGGACTAAAGCAAATGCTTCAGAAAACGCTAAATTTTAGATTCTCACATATTCTGCTGACTGCCTTTAAAAATCAAAATATAATACTCCATGCTACTAATTTATTGATGATTAGGCTGTATTAGATGTGATTTCATGACACAAGTGCCTGCTGTTTAAGTGCAACATCCTTCTCTGAGCTAATTCCAGGAACACATTTAGCACACACTGACACATGTGTGATGTTCATGGAAACAAACTGTGTTAGAGACACCACCACCTATCCAGAACGTTTTCAGTGAGATTAATGCTTATGAAATACAGCATTATCATTTCTGACTGATACTAAACTGTGTTAAAAACTCAAATGCTTTATTTACATGCACCTTGTAGAGGTAAAACATCTTATTTGTTTACATTGCATTCCCCAAAGAACCTCAATGTGGTTTTGCCTCTTTAAATGTGCTGTAACACTGCAATAAAATTACACGTACCTTTTAAAGGCTTGGAAAGAAGTCTATTTAAATATATCTAATATATGGTATCTCAAAAGATACAACTGACATAAGCAGCAGCACATCCTTATTAACTGGTTTAAAGTCCACATGTTCTGCCCCTAACAAACACCACTACTCTTGGTTTCTGTGAAGACGATATTCAAACCCTGCAAGGTATTTTGGGGCTTACCTTCAGGAGCTTTGCATGCAGAAGTAAGGTGTAGGCAGCTTCCGTGTAGTTATCGCACTCTTTGTGCAGGTCACACAGCTTGTACAAATACCTGCGAGTAACAGAAACAGCGCGTCTTAAAAAGGTTGCTTCTTGAATGCTATTAAGTAAGTTATTTTGAAGACTACAGTGGTTCAGCTCTATTTTCAGACAACTAAAACAGAAGACAATTTGTCTTTATAGAGATAGTTAAGAGGGCAGACCTACGACCTTACATGCTGGACGTTTTGCTAGGTTTGATTTTCTTTTTGCAGATTAACAACGCAATAATTAAAGTCATTTTAACAACAGGGAGTGAGTTCGCAAGTGAAAACTCTCCCGGAAAGGTAACAAGAATTTAAGAACGAATGATTTTTAGATATCCAAAATAGCAGGAAAAGCACAAGCTTCATCCCTGTAGCGCACCAGCCGAGCCAATTTTAAGCCAAAAGTACAAACAGAGGCCTGGGAACCCTGAGGTTTACAACAAGCACAGCAACGTATTACCACTTTTACTGTGTGGGAAAATAGATTTTGAAAGGCTCCTAAAAAGCTTTAAATTTAAAATAACTATCAGCCATGATATTATTTAATAGCCCTTTTTTGCTCCAAGTCACAGATTTTGTACCTCACCAGGGGGTAAAACTCTTTCTTTGCTCAGCTTCCTTCTGGTTTATTTATTTTTTTGCACTGGGTATTTCAGTGCTCATCATAACAGGACTGAAGGAGCTGGACAAAAGCCCTCACGACTCGAATTTCGAATGCTCACTGTTCTCAGTGAAGATAAGCCTTTGGATGCAGTTAAGGTTCAGGAAAAGGTGTGGTTTTTTTCATTACTTCTTTCCCTCCAGCCCCCAGGTGACTGCTTAATACAAACTTAATTTTCTCCAGTTACACTACAGTAAGTCAAGCAGAGGTTGTCGCTGCTCGTGTTTACAAACCTTATATACATTTCTTCTCGCTCAATCTCCTTGTAGAAATTCTGAAAAACAACATAATTTCGTTACAAAGCCTTTGATTTCACAGTCGGGCGTGTACACAGAACATGCTCTAAATTAAAAATTCATCATTGCGTAACGTCAGCCTCTGAGCTGCAAGACGGAATTTGCCTCCAGTGGCAGAGCACGAGCGATTTAACTTACAAAACCCAACGCTGGGATGTTTTAGCGCATTGGGGCTTTATGTCTCCTTGTAAAGGTTCAGGATTTGCAAGAATGGCACTGCTAGGAATTTGGTCCCGGCATTTGCGAGTCATGCATCATTAAACGTTTACATTTTTGTAATATAATATAAAAAACCCGTAATTTTTAAGCAACAACTGCTCTGTGGATTTAAAACTCCAAATCTTAGTTGGGCAATACACCACGTGCCCTTGATTTCTAGTAGGTTTTTTGTTAAATAAAAAGTCAGGTTACTGTTATTTAACTGGTTTCCTATGCCACATTAGCATCGCTCTCTTCAGAAATGTCTGAGATAAACTAGTTAACACTACAAATATTGTAAATGCAAGACGTGACAAATTAGGGGAAATATTAAAGGCACTTCTGATTCTAATCTAAAATTTGCCTTCAGAAGGTAAAAATATATCTAAGAAAACAAAATACAAATAATTTCTCCTTCACTGACTTACAATATAATTCAATGTTAAATTAAACCAGTCTGAGCAGCCACTAACACACAAGCCCAGTACTAACAGACGCATGGGCCCAATACAAAACCTCCCTTCAAAGAGAACCAAAATACAAGACACAATCTACGTACCACAGTTGGAAATGATGGGTTATTCACTGGATACACCATTTTACTTCACATAACTGCGTACTGGTTTTGGGTTCAACTCAGAAGACAAACCGAACCCCAGGAGAAATCTCTGCTGTTATTTCTTCCTTGTGTTTTGTTTGCTTTTTTAAAGTAGAAGAGACTTCTGCATCAGGGGAATCAATAACGTGAAATCATTTTATCCTGATATTGCTGCCAGCTGCTCTGCTCTTCTGAGGCAGCTCAAGCAGCAACATCAAATCAACCAAACTGGGAGGAACTTGGGCAGCAGGGGGACATGGACACCAGTGACATTTCCTACAGCTCCATCTTCCCCTAAAACAGTCCCTGCTCTTGTCTCATATTTGCATGCAGATTCCCACATTCACATCAAACCCCTGACTTAAATCACAGAATCCCAGAATATGAGGAGTT